TTCCAACCTTGCTTTAGGGGAGGGTCAGTCATTTTTGTGCCGAAGGGAGGGGGGTGGGTCATGTGTTTTTTATCAACCACCTTTCCAAATGCTCCGGCCCACCCCCCCCGCCCCCTATACTTTTTGACCAGTCCCTAAGTATAAACATTTATGAGATATCGGCATTTATTCAAAACCTCTTTTTTACGAAAAATGTAAATAACTTCGAAATCCCACGACAGACAGTTTTTCCCTAACCTCAGCAAATAGGCCTCAGAGCTCTCTAGTTTTATGTCTGCAAGTTTGAAGTCAATCATGACCGTAGAACTCGCTGCACAAATTGCTGGTCAAATTTAACCTTAAAATGCGACGCTCACACATTTGAGAAAAGAAGTTTTAAATACATCAAAATCATATACGTGAACTGCGGAACTGTCCCTCTCTTTACGAAAAAAAAATCTTAACAAAGCAAAATATCATCTACGAAAACCTCTCCAGAGTTTTTAGCGTCCAAGGTTCCCGTTTTTGAGAGAAATAAAGCCACCAGTTCCAGTACTTCTAACCATCCATTTTTCAGCTGCAATGAAAACCGTTGTACTTAGTAATTTATCCAAGCTTTTAAGCTTTGCCATCACATTTGCACGGGCAGTTTGCTGTTGGAGATAATGAGAAGAATAAGACGATTGTCATATTTGTCTTCATCTTTATCCCTAAGTGGCAAACTTTCACAAATGTGTCAGGTTGAATCTTTCATTCTGAAAAGACGCGAGTCAAAAATACCAACACGCACATAAATAGGTTCGGGCCACCTTAAAAAGCCATGAAAGTGAGAAACCCCTGCTAGTTGGGTAGAGTTGAATCGGGATGTGACAGACGAGGGATGTTACGTTTCATTGAAAGGCTGGGTCGTGATGCTCACATTCAAACCAGTTGAACTTTATGCCAAATATTGCGCTGACATTATCGTGTTAACAAGATCATAATTTCATAAAAACGGTGATGCCACACTCACGAGACAATTCACTTGTCCACTGTTCCGCTCAGTGGCACTTTTGTGAGGCCCGAAATAGAGACAAACTAGAGAAACTTACCAAAAGGGTGCTTAAGATAGTTCTTAACAAGAAATCTCTGGACTATCAGGGCCTTTTAAATCAGATTAATTGTAGCGATTCATATAGTATAAGGTGCCAAGATATGTTAGCCATAGTTTTTAAGACTATACATCTTGACACGATGCCACGGATATCTAGGTGGATTGCAGTTCCGGATCCAGACCTTGAGATAAGAGGCGGGGGGTGGGGGTGGGGGCGGTCATCCAGACCCTTAGATAAGAGGGGGACCCGGTCTCCAAAAAAATTTTTTTGGGGCCTTTCGGTCCTCAGATTGGTCTGAAAATAATGGGGGGCTCGGGCTCCCCGGGACCCTCCCATGGATCCGCCACTGGATCATTATCAAGCAAGAGCTACAACACACGATCTGCGGGGAACAAACAAACTCACTGTTCCCTGCGTTAAGACCACAACTCACGGTTTACGTTTATTTAGGTACCCATCTACAATAATGTGGAATGGACTCCCTGTAGGACCTGGGGTCTACGACATTATTTAGGGAGTTCAAATTCAAAGTGCGACAAATTCCGCTCAAACAAATATAACTGATACAATTACTACGTAGTTAAATTCTTTTCTTATAGTGCTATATTTCCTTTTATTTTATTTCGGAGGTATTAGCTTTAAGAGCTACACTGTAAATCCGAGGTTAAATAAAGGTGATGTTATGTGAAGTGTGTACCGCTTTTAGTTCATTTATTTTATCTAGGGTCTCTCTAACTTCATTTCCCATACAAAAACAAACTCATAATGTATGGATTTAGCGAGGGCTAAAAGCGAAGCTCTGGATAATATTTATAGTTTGTTTAAACAAAATATAAAATTGTGTAATGTTAAGCGGCGAAGGCAAAGCACGGAGAACGCAGACTCGTACCCAGTCGCTATTTAAGTGTTTTTTGGGATGAGAGAAGATTGGGGATTAGGTTGAGGCGCGCGCGGAGTCTTCCCTTCCCATGAGACCCCGCGCGCGCCTCAACCTAATCCCCAATCTTCTCTCATTCCAAAAATACTTAAATAGGGACTGGGTACGAGTCTGCGGAGAACGGTGAAAAAAGAGCATGCGCAAATTTGCATGTGCAGCACACTTTCTTTGTATATTTCTTTGTCGTTGTTTTGCGCGACTACAACGTGAAACTTCCAGAAACTTCTTATTTACACGTTTTATGGAGAAAATGTTGTACGTGTTCTCGTTCACTTTTTTTCACTGCCGCTCATTTTCACCTTGCATTTGTGCCGCTAGCATTTCTCATTTTGTCACCGCCGCGGCAAAATTTTCGTGTTGTTATTCCAACAAAAGAATGCCTCCTTTGTTTTTGATCTCCCACTCTAGATCTCTGTCGCCCTTTTTCTCGTTGAGCTTCGTTGGCCTGCCGCCTACTTTCTCTTTTTCTCAGTCTTTCTCTTGCTCTATATTCCAAATTTGTGGACATGACAATTAATCTAAGCTTAATACTTCAGACAACACGGATACAGAAACAATTTCCGATTTCCGTTTTCGTCTTTATTGACTCTTTAGTTGTCTCTGGTTTACAAGACGCCCGTGGCTGTGCGATTTCCCGCCAAAATAACTACGAGTTGCATTTAGGTTGCCATACCTGTTTATTGAGTTATTTTACATTGGTATGCCTGTGGTGCGGACGGACGGTCAGGCAGGCGTACGGTCACGTGATTACCAAATTTTCTCAGAGGGGCAGACATGCAGTACTTCATTTTCCTACCCATGGTGCTCTGTGGCCAGCGCTTCGCATGCGAGAGCTTCGCAATAATGCTTGGGCCACCTGTACTGACTTTAAGCTTTTGTAGTCAGTTCAAACCTTTATATTTGAAATAAAGAAGAAATCATCTTTTGTTTTATTGTGAGGATTTTATATAATAAAAAGAACATTACATGGTCGCTTGGAGATGCGCAATTTGTCTTCTCGTTTTGAAAATATTATTTAACACTCCAAGAGAAATTTCGTATCTTTGCGCGGCCATGTTATATATCCTTTATATATAATTTTATTTTTGGAAAATCCAACCAACCTTAAACATTAATTCTCATACTGGCAACTGAATAGGCTTTGATGTTTTATTCACAATCGAGAAAGCATCACTGATATTTCAAAGATTAATTTATTTATTTGCCGATATTTATCCAGAATCTGCCCTTTTAGCAGATAAAAAAATACATCAAAACTTCTTAAATTGTCTCCTTTTGACCTTATCTTGTTTGTGGTATGTTCTTAGTATTTCTGGTCATTTCAGCGTGATTCTAACGAGTTTTAGTTGTACCATTAGAAAGAAAAACGAAATGGCCAGAAATGCTAAGAACATACCACAACGTAGGAGACTCAGTAAGAAAGTATTTCTAAAATAACAATCAATAAATTTTCAGTACAAACCCTTATAATATTTCTGTTATGCAACACTATTCTCACTTGGAGCTCAGGGTACCTGTGATTGTACTCACTTAAATTTAGCTATGATTTAAATTCAATCAACACTTAATTTTGGTGCCTTTTACTTTAGCACTTTTTAGAAAAATTGCTAAATTAAAGTGTCACCAAAATTTCATGTAATAAGGTATTTGTAAAAATATAACAAAATAAAAGTAAACGGATACTATAAAAATGGCTATAAAAGTAAATAATATATTTAGCAATTAATGAATAAGGCTTAGTAGGATATGAAGAACTATGCAGATTGAGGAGGGTGTTATCCACCGAGGCCAAAGCCCGAGGTGGCTGCATAATTCTTTTTAGTGGTCTATTATCAATGCTGCATTCTGATTGGTTGAGCTACTACTAGGCTATATGTTATAGCCAACTAGTAGCAAAAAGCGCCGGCTTTTTGGCGGCAAAAAGGGATTAAAGTCTAGCTTTAACTAGCTAAAGTTGTTTTGTTTCGATATTTTTGACCAACTAGTTGGATTTTACTAAAAGTATTATTCCTCTCGCCCTCATGGCCTCTGAGTCAATAGCCCATTCGGCCTTCGGCCTCATGGACTATTGAATCGGAGCCCATTCGCGCTCAAGGACTTCTCGAGTAACGGTGCATTACCTGCAACTGTGCTGCACTTTTGACGTCATCTGTTGATTAATCACAAAATTCTTCCAAATTTGGTCAACAGGTAAATTATGCATGTGTTTTTAGCCAACAGAAATGGAGAAATATGTTGAATGAATAATAATATGAATTGATGGTTACTTGATATTTTGCCAGGGAACCACTGGTACTGCTTTGCAGCACATGAGCACAAAAAATATTTTCAAATTCTGCCGATTCGTTGGCCTATTACCCCCCCCCCCCAGGAAAAAGTGGAAGGGTAGACTGTCCCCCTCCTCTCTGTGTCCAACCTTTTTCTAATCTACTCTCCATTAATCTCTTAGCTTTAACACACTCTAATACCACACCATAATGAAACCATACCATAATGCTCTTTGTTTGTCGCCCCAAAATTATGCATAAGCATTGTTTTCAGTTTCTCTTGGGAGTTGAAAATTTATGGCCCCAAGAGAAACTGAAAACAATGCTTATGCAAAATTTTGGGGTGACAAACAAAGAGCATTATGGTATGTTATGGTATTTTCTGGAGTGGTCAGTAGGCTCAATCTTATGTGTAATGTTTTGAAAGCCATTTATCATGATTTTAGGATACTGGAGATAGGGGCCATATGAATGAACAACACAATAGCGAGGGGGGCTGGCCATATAGACATTCACTTGTACCTAGAGGGGATTAATTAAAATACAATAAAAATGAACAGTATTGTTTTCGTGTACCCCTGATTCAAAACGTCATTTGCAAGACATGTCTGCCAATGTTTCTGCTGATAAAAAGAGGAAAGGTGCCTAACTTGTACAAACGTCTCCAATCTAAACTTAAGTCACTAGCCTGTGTAGGGTAGGGGGGTGTACACAGGCTATAAGTCACCAATGATAAACTAAATAAAAAACAGTCGCAAGCAATGCTAGAACGAGCGAGAAAACAATTACATTCCTTTGGATGGTTTTAAGTCTTGCTGAAACCAAATCTTTGGTAAAAGATAAGCCTACGTTTGCTCTTGGAAATTCTTCTTCCGGAATCTCACATCCCAGAAATTCGCACAGAGGTTTCCACCCTTGTTTCACGTTGTAAATCAGCAGTTTCTCCTTCGGGATGATCGCTTGTACTCGTTCGTTGTGCTCGCGATATTTCTTTTTGAATAAAAAAGTTGACTGCGTATTCAGACTACCAAACGTTCCATTTATTATGGTCTCAAGAAAAGCTATAGGCACTCTTTTCCCAAAGAGCCACTGCTTTATTCTGTTGGGATATCTGATTAGAATTCTGTTAAAAACTTTTCCGAGAGTTTGAATTATCTCCAATTGTTCCACCCAACTCTTAACCCAAACTTCTTCGCTGTCTCTCACAGACAGAACGACTTTTGCGTCGGGAAAAGTTTCGTAAATTTCTTGAAACCAATACGCGGAGGGAATATCCGTTACAGCATCAACGTTTCGGTACATAGAGACGAAGTCAGGCTCCTTACCCTGGCAGTAAACGTCAAGCCACTCGTGAAGATGAACCTTCCTATGTTCGGGATAATCGAACACTGTGAAGCCAAGCATCCTCAAGGCTTTGGCTAGAGATTTCGTACCTGTTTTGCTCAGTCCTGCACATATAACCTTCATTTTCTAAAGGAATCTTTCAATTAAATTTGCTTGGTTGTTGAAGATCTTGAAGCTAGTGATCCGAAGAGCGCAGTTGTGTACCCAGTGTCAGGCATCTTGGTCAGCTGGCAACAAGGGTAAGGTTAACACCAAAGGTGAGGGTGGGGGTGAGGTTAGGCTGAGGGATTGCTATTATAAGAAAAAACAAGGAAAATATAACTAATCGAATGGCAAAATTTCATTCGCCAGAAGTTCGAGTTGTGGGAATTCCAATTTAGATTTTCATCCAAAATTACTCAAAAAAAAAATGTCTTCTTTATACTCAAACAATCATGATGTTGATTACAAATTAATATTTCTTTGAATTTTACAATTCGTACGTCTTGGACTTGGCGCGGATTTGAAGACCATACATTTGCCTTTTTTAAGGGAAAGTGTTAGATGTACAGTTTGCTCGTCACTGGCTCGTCTCCAAATGTAACATATTTGAAAGGTTGTCGGGATATTTTGGGGGTATGAATTGATATCGCGAACAATATCAAATTTAATAAACAAGTTATTACATCAGTTACACTGATGTAGGTTTGGTGTAATGTAATACTTGATATTCAAGAAAGAGAAAAGCGATCACACAAGAGATATCAACTCGGAATGAGGGATTGTGGACGTTCTAAGATTGCATGATCACGTGATTACCATACGATAGGTTTACTCTCTAATTGATTTCCATTAGTAGAGTAATATGAGGACTCTGAGGTCAGACCAGGGGAGGAAGATCAGTAGACAAATTTCCGGTCATTGATTTCCGGTCTTCCTCAACTCTTCGACCGAATTTTTTTTTCTACAGGCTATGTCCGCAAAAGAACGCAATTTCTGTGAGAAAATTTCTTTTTTGTGCTCACCAAAACCAGTAAGAGTAACGGATGAATACACTTAAACTCACCCCCCCCCCTCACCCTTACCCCCACCCCCACCCCCACCCTTACCCTCACCCTTAGTGTTACCCTTACCCTCGTTTTAGCAACGTCGGTGGGGCGATGCCTGGAAGACTTGTTGAACACAAAAAATTCGGTTTGATTTTTTATTTTGGCTTCCCTTTCAGAATGCAACCTATAAATTACAAATGTGACAAATGTGTTAATTGGCTAATCTACTGTGATCAAAAGCCATTATGGCTCTTGATTCATTCAAGATGATTGCTATTTTGGGGGGTACATATAAGGCAATTAACTCGATATAAGATTTGTTTCACTCTTGGACTGTTTGCAAAGTATTTTTCAATAACATCATTTAGCCTTTCCCTCAAAAGTCACATGAATGTGCCCTAATGTGTTTGATTTAAATTATAAATTTATTAATGGGAGCTTCGCTTTTAGTCCTGGCTAAATCTAGTTACTAAAATCCAGCTAGTGGTCTATTATCAATGCAACGTTCTGATTGGTTGAGCTACTACTATGCTTTATGTTATAGCCCACTAGTAGCGAAAAGCGCCAGCTTTGAAAACCAAAATAATGGCGGCTGAATCGAGTTTTACTAACTAAAGTTGTTTTGTCTGGATATTTTTGACCAACTAGTTGGATTTTACCAAAACAATAATTCCTCTCGCCTTCATGGCCTCTGAGTCAATAGCCCATTCGGCCTTCAGCCTCATGAGCTATTGACTCAGAGCCCATTCGGGCTCGAGGAAAAATTGTTAAATATGTGTGTTGAATATTGTGACAAAAGAACATAGATATGATTGTTCCTAGTATAGCAATAAGTGTTCACTGATTGGCATTATGATTATCCGAACTATTGGTTCCTTAACATCAGCTTATGCTACAACCTCGTCCCCAGGGCGCTTTTCCCTGGCTTTCCAAAGCCAGGGAAAAGCGCCCTGGGGACGAGGTTGCTTATGCTACCATAAACTAATGACTTTCCACACGATGAGACTAAAGCCCTTTTTTTATTGTAGTTACTTTGGTTTACTTTGGTGGTGGTGGTGGCGGTGGGAGGGGTTTACCTTAGTTCTTCATCTTAGCTATATGTCAACTTTATGCTGCCGAAATCCTTGTCTGCGATTCCGTCTATGCTCTTACTGTGCATGCAATTGAAAATTCTTTCTGGTAAAGTGGCGGTCATTTATAGTTTTCATTATTATTTTCCTGGGGAATTGGGGGGAGAGGGGTTAACAACTAGAACTTGAGTGTAGGTGCGTGTCCCTCATGAGAACCTTGAAAAAAAAAGGATTGGGTGTCTGATTCCAAACAGTGCAGACTATGAACCATTGACTGAGTCAGTTTTGTGTCTCATATGACTAAGGAATAAGAAGATGCTAGAAACACTATTAAGATCATACCCAAGATGCCTTTTAAAAGTGAATAACCTGAAGACAATGGTCATGCTACAGAACTTTGTAGTAAGGCCAGTTACCTTATGCATGCATGTTCACAGCACTGAGGGATGTATTAGCGGGAAAACACAGGCATTCATTAAGAAATTTATACATATAGGTTGTTGACACTTTTAACTGTCCTATTTTAAAACAATATAGGACCTCTCTATTACTTTTCCTATTACAACCTCCCCTCCCTCTCCCTCTCCCTAATTTGAATTATTCAAGGCATTTTTTATAGTGAGGACTTCAAAACATGCAGACCTTGTTGGATTCTTGATCAGCTTAATATAATAAGGCACTAGAAGTAGCTGTTTGGCCCTTTACCATTATTTGTAAATAAGACTCAGCCATCCATAAAAAAGAGCCTGCTCGAGAGATAAAAGGGTAAATATTATATCCCTGTATACTCCAACAGGAATCACATGCAATAAGATCATCAATTAATAACTGGGAGGAGCAAAAAAGGCTCCGGCTCTTTTCTGACAACTTTCAATGGTGAAGAGTGACCAAATCAGGCCAAATCAAACCAGAAAAATTGTTCATGTGTAAAATATTGAAATCAACATATGGCATTATATGGCTTAATTGTTTTAATAGAGAGCAGTACTTGGTAGACCTTGGTATACATAGGTCCTGTGTCCACATGAGATTAAACTTTTGAAGCCAGTGTTTCTATCGTCAAAAATCGAACTTTTAAGCTAAGCGGATTAGCCTCCTCGACGTAAATTACCTTTGCCAAGTAAAGTCTAAAACTACAGATTCGTAAATAATGGCCAGAACAGAAAAAATACTGTCCTTCTCTCAGTATCTACAACTCCTTTTTATGTCTGGCATCAACTCGTGGCTTGGTTTACGATTGATTTTCGATCTGCCCGGTCTTTTTCCTCTGCTAAGAAATCTCTTCACTCCTTAAACTATTAGAAGTTGTTGTTGTCTTTTTCTTCTCCTATTTTCCTAGCTTGAGAGCAAGCTCTGTTATCCTTGTGCGCAGTGGCGGTTTTTTACTGATAGATAGGTACCCTAGCAAGCGGGTTAAAGATAGCTCGGGCTTACAACCCAAATTTCACAGGTAGGGTTACCCTATAACACGGGTCAACTTTACCACCTTTACTGACGTGTCTCGCCACGCGTATTTTAATAATAATAATAATAATAATAATAATATATATATATATTTTTTAGTATTTTAAAAATCACAGAACACCGAACACAGAAGACAAAAATATATATTCTTTGTGACGTTCAGGATCCCAGGGGGGGGGGGGGGG